GTACTTTACCAGTGTGTTACCCTGTACTTTACCAGTGTGTTACCCTGTACTTTACCAGTGTTCAGAGTTTTACTCCTTTTCTGAATGTCTCTTAATAAATCACCACTGATCTGTTTCTTCTTTGAGGCTCTGAAATTCATTTTAATTCACCATGTTAGAAACAAATGTTTTTTAATGAAAAAAGGTCTGTTTTCAATGTGGTCCTGTGGATTTTTTGTTTCATTTTAATGAGACATTTTTGTTTTCAAAGTAGGAAATATTTCACTGTTGTTTTGATCAACAACCATTTTATATTAATTTTCATTTTATGACTTTGTTTAGACGTTTTCAGAGAGGCTGATGGGGAAGTTTTCCGTTGCAGTTCCAGTGATGGTGGCCTTGTCCTGCTTCGGCTCCTTGAACGGTTCCCTCTTTGCCTTATCAAGGTAAACATTTTTATTTTCATTTGCTCCAGACTGGTTTACCCACAGTCTGACTAAAGCCCTGCACATGTACACTTTTAGCATGCACCAGTTGTGATGAATGTAATGAACAGAACAGATGAAGTGGAAAAAACCTGATGATACAGTTTTGGTCACAAACGACTGTTAGTGGAAAATACTGTGGTCAGTGTGTTGGAAACAAGACATTTCCAAATGTAAGGATTAGAGAGACTCAACATGTTTTATGTGTGCACAGGCTGTTGTGAACACACACACACACACACACACACATACACACACTTTCGCTTTTTGCTCTGTTGCATCAGTGTTTAATTCAAGGCTTCACAGTTTTTACTGTAGACAAATACAGCACATGACAATAATGCAATAATTTGCATTTAAAAGACAAGAAGAAGAAAAACGGAGTTCCTCAGCAGATATTTATTTATTAACAGGTTTGCACATAAAATGTTTGTTCTGGTTCTCAGGGGAGAACCTAGGGTTGTTGCTTGGTGCTCACTCATATTTTCCTTCACTCATTGAACACATTTATCTAGAGGGGCATCAGGTCATCTAACGTCCCCCTGTTCTGTTTTATGACTCCTATCAGCTGCAACGTCTCAGGACATCATGTTAAATCAGTCCAACAAGTTTTTATTTTATTTTTTAATATATATAATTTTTTGAAGGGGGGTGAACAGAGAATCATCTTTGCTTTAATATGGGACAAACAAATGTTCTGTTAGTTAACGTGGTTTAATTAGAAGAACTCAGTGAATCTCTCCGATCTGATTTGTTGAAGGCAGTGTTCATTTAATCCTTATATCAGGGTCCCACTGTGGCGCACCGAACAACGATCCGTTCACACCAGTGTGGCTGGATTCTTTTTAAAAAAATTTTAAGAAATCAGATCACGTTTGCAACCAAACTGGTCGCACTCTAGAGCCCTGCTAGCTGTTGGTTTGACAGACAATCGGGTACAATCTTAGGTACACAAGGGAGCTTTATGACGTTTCATCTGGTGCGCTTTTTCTTTTTTTGACCACGCATGCGTGCCTGCGCACCGCTCATGTGCCACTCTGTTTATTAACCTTTACTGAACCAGACAAATCTCCTCTAACATCACAAATTGTTTATTCAGGTGAGGCCTGAGTCTGAAAGCAGCCATGTTTTTATTTTAATCAAGTGTTTGTGGGATGTTCTGAACGTCTCAGCAGAGAAGAATTGAAGAATCTGCTGCCGACAGCTTGGTGTCAGATCCCACAGCAGACCTGTAGACGTTCAGCAGAGTCAGGGTCGTTTCAATCACAGTCTGATGAAAACCATCCTGTTTCACTTGTTGTATGTTTGGTGGTGCAGTCGAACCGGAGAAACGTCAATGAATATTTAATAAACAAAACAACATGCTTCAGCAGATAACTCAGAAGATAACGTGAGGGAAAATTACTGGAGGACAGACTTGACTTGTGGAAAACCCAAAGAATGAACAGGGAACTAACAACAGGATAACTGAATATGAAATAAGAGAAATGAGATGAGGATAAGGTGAGAGTGGGCGGGGCCAGAGCAGAGACTGAGAAACTGACCTGATGTCACAGGGATCACAAGAGTGTGGTGGCCCAGAAGGGACAACACAATGCAAAAGCCACAACACAACAGTAACAACCACAACAACAGCTATGCTATGAATATCTACATTACCTAAACCAGAGATTTTTAACCTGTGGGCCACAGCGCCACCTTGAGGGCCTCAAAAGAACAACAGTTTTTAACTTTGGGCCACAGAGG